ACTTTGGTCAGCTGTCATTTCTATCTCAAACTCTAGATAAGTTATGTTCCCTATCTACTGCATGCATGATTGTTGGGGGGAATTTAACTTAGTTATGTCCCCCCATAAGGATAGAAAGAAAGGTGCTCTTTGCCCCCATTCCATCGAAGAGGCTATGCTCCTCCTCAACGCCTTTCCACAAACTGATTCAGGAGCATTGTCTCTTTGACACCTGGTGGGTCAAACATCCTCCCCATAGGCAATTCACATTTTATTCTATTCCACATGGCATATTCTCTCGATTGGATCATTTTTTGTCACCGCCCCCCTGATCCATTTTTTGGTCTCTTCGGAGATCAGAGATCTTCGGATGACTTGATCAGACCATGCCTCATGGTCACTTGATCTCCTTCTCCCTAACTTCTCCCCTAAGGTTTGCCACTGGCGCTTCAATGAGAGTTTTGGACAACTTCGAGAGATCTCTCAGGGTCTGGATGCTTACTTTCACCTCAATGTTGGCTCCGTATCTTCATCTTCAACCCTCTGGGAGGCCCATAAGGCCACCATTAGAGGCTTCTGAATTTCCGTGGGCGCTTGTTTAAAGAAGGCCTCTGTTTGTGGCAGCCAATCCCTCTTACACCAATTATCCATAGCCAAACGTCGATTGCTAGATAACTTGTCTATATCTTGGCTCCAGAAAGTTTCCCATATACGGGAATAAATTAGGGCTCTTGACCTGCATAAAACTGCTCAGTCTCTCGCCTGGGCAAAAATTTTATGAGTTTTCTTATAAACCACATCACATGCTTGTGAATAGACTTAAATCTCAAACGTCCCCCTCACTAACGGGCCACCTACTCCAGTCCAATGGCAAACCCACATATGACCTGCATCTTATCGCTATAATTTTTGGGGAATACTGTGAGAAGCTTTATAATTGCCTAGCTCCTGATATTCATCCTCCCCTTCAGATGGCTGCTTTTGATGCGTTTTTTACTCCTTACATTTGCCATGTTTATCACCTTCCGATGTTAAAACTCTGAACGCGGACATCTCCATTGGAGAATTATTGGATGTTGTTAAACACCTTCCTACTCACAAGTCCCCAGGACCGGACAGTCTCCCTTACTCATATTACAAGTCATTTATTGGCATCTAAGCCCCTCATCTTCTGACTTTGTTTTGGGATCTCCTGAAGGGGTCGCACCCACACGATGATTTTACACGTGCATACATTTCTGTTATCCCCAAGCCGGATAAGGACCATTCACTTCCAGATAATTGTCACCCTATAGCCTTATTAAATTCTGACTACAAGATTTTTATGAAAATACTTGCTAATAGACTGGCCAAATGTATCTCCAAGCTTATACACAGAGATCAGGTGGGCTTTGTCCTGGCTAGGCATGCCGCAGATAATACCAGGAGGACCATTGACCTGATTGATCTTGTCAATAAGTCCCCAAATCCTGCACTCTTGTTGAGCTTGGATGCACAAAAAGCGTTCTATCGCTTAAGTTGGCCATACATGTTTCTGGTCTTGAGAGATTTGGGTTTAGTTACTTTGAAAGCCCTTTACTCCACTCCCTCTTCCCAGGTCAAATTAGCATTATTCTTATCCCCTTCCTTTTGGATGTCCAATGGTACACTACAGGGTTGCCCACTTTCCCCCTTGTTGTTTATTCTTTGTTTGGTACCCCTGGCTATAGCTATCAGATACAACCCGGATATCCGTGGGATACACACAAACAATCATGACTTTAAACTGTCTTTGTTCACTGATGATATATTGCTGACACTGATGGAGCCCCGTATTACTCTATCTGTTTTACATCGTACTCTACAGCTTTTTGGTGCTCTGTCAGGTTATAAGGTTTACGTGTCTAAAACTGAAGCATTACCGCTCCACATACCATCTACCATTTTATCTTCTCTTCAGTCAGATTATCCCTACGGTGGTGCCCCCACACCCTTGAGGTATTTATGAAGCTAATTTTTCCCCCTGTTTCAAGCTATTTCACAATCCTTAAAATCACCTTTACACACCTTTATATGTGTAAATGGCCCCCAATCCTTCAACATGATATTACCTTAGATCAATGGAGCAGGATTTGGGAGGCCGCCTCCAGGTCTTCTATTGTATATGTGTAGCATATAAAGAAAACACTTATAAAATTTTGATGTTTTGATATAAGACCCCTGAGGTTCTCCATGCTCGCAATCCAAGTGTTTCTCCTGTCTGCTGGCAATGTGGTGAGGAAACTGGCACCCCTATCCACATTTTCTGGACTTGCTAACACATTGCACCTTTCTGGAGAGAGGTCCTCAGCCTTTTGCAGCTACTTTTACAGGTCCATATTTCATTTGTGCCCATCCACTTCTTACTGGGCCTACTTTTCCAGGCCTCTCCAAATTTGACAAGAAACTATCCTCTCATGTTTTCACAGCAGCCAAGGGAACCATTCCTATGCATTGGCTATCTGATACACCACCTACGCGGTCGGAATTGGTGAAGGTTATTGCAGAAATTAAAAGAATGGAGTACCTCACTGCTATCCATGCTAACTCTGTCCCCATCTTTGAAGCAGTTTGGGAACCATGGGATCTTTCTGTTTTTGATTTGTCCACTCAGTTGTCTGAAAATGCTGGCTGATTCACTGTTATGCACTGACATGGTATGTATCTACTGTATATGCCTATCATTGAGGAGCCTATTTATTTTTGTTCTTTCATTGACATGTGATTGTTATTTCACAATTCTATGCAACTCTGTTTGTTGTAAGCTCTTTAAAAATCAATAAAAAGTAAAATCATAAAAAAAACAGATTAGCACACACATAGATAATACTTACTGGTTTGGGTAAACAATGAATGTTATTACAATACTATCTTATAGTAAGTGATCACATAATGAGTGACAGGTGGACAAGGTATCTACTCCACTTCCATTCAGAAATACAATGCAGCATTGTTTTCAGCTACTTCCAAATAAGAACACATTAGAAATACATTGTCATTTTTGAAAAAAAGAAAAAAAAAAACATACTTTTTACTGTATGGTGAACTAATGGGTCCATATAAACTCTTTTAACAGTTCACTGCTGACATTCTGCTTTTCATTAGTCTCAATTCAGAGATGCACATCTACAATCTAATTCAAAGCATAATTACTTGCATGATTGTTTTTCTTCCAGTAGTCCATATAGTCACTGTGACGTTTACCCATTCCTAATATGTTCAGGAGGTTTTATTGCAGTTTTAACAGTCGCCCTTTATCCTATAATGGTTAGACACTGCGGGGTTTATTTACTAAAGCTGGAAAGTCCAAAATCAGACTCCCTTCTGCCTAGAAACCAATCAGCTTCTAACCTCAACTTGTTCAATGAAGCTTTGGCAATGAAACCTGGAAGCTGATTGGTTTCTATGCAGAAGGGTGTCTGATTTTGGACTCTCCAGCTTTAGTAAATAAACCCCTGCTTGTCTCCTAGAACTCCGACGAAATGAGTGGAATCTGCATCAGTTCCTGGGTGCTGTGCAAAGTTCCTTCACATCACTGGCCTGCCAGTCAGGGGACATGTGGAACTCCTGGTACCACTCTGGAACAGAGTGGGAGCAGGATATGCAGGGTGTAACAGAATTGTTGGAGGTCCTCAGGATACCTAAGAACCGCTGTGCAGCTTGAGTGGGATGCTGTCATGCAAAAGGGGAACCACCATCTGTATGGTATCTTGCACGCCCTAAGTACCTCTAATAGAGGTCAGAGCACTCTCTAATTACAGAGAGTGTTTTGGGATAGGTCCTGAAACAATTGAACTGGAAAACCATTAAAGGTGACTTCCCACTGCTCTGGGGCTGCACGAATGACTTCTTCCTTAAGGGGATAGTCTTTAAAACAGCATACAATATCCGGGGGGGTGTATGTGTCTCTCCAGGCTTTAAAGCTATATGAGTCCACTCAAATGTTACAAGGGAATCTGGGGGGCCACTCTAGCAGATCATTAAATAGAGTCTGAAGGGCCTGAGGTATCTGTGACGTCTCTAAGGTTTCTGGTATGCCTCTTACCCTCAGTTTCCTCCTGAGACCACAATTGACCAGGTCTTCCATGTGGTGCTGCGTTTCAATCAGCTGGATGTTGTGGTGCACCACCATTGTGGTCTGTAGTTCAACTATGGCCGCATCATGGCACATAAAAGCATGCTCAGCCTCTGTAATTCTGGTAGTGACAAACCGGAAATCATCCCTGAGCTCTGTGATAGCCAAGGTTAGTGTAGTTTTAATGTCGGCTGCAATGTTTTGCAGGTTCGCCATCAAAGGCATCTGCTGGAACATTTCAGCCATTGAAGCCAATGGTTCTCTTGCATCAGTACTCATAGTGGAGGCCTGAGCTGTAGCGGCTGGTGATGTCTGGGAGTTCCAAGAGTGAGCTTCTCCCCTGTTGGGACCGGAATATTGGTGGTAGGTGCCAGACTACCTGAGAGTGGGGTGACCAAGACTGTGGGGGAGCCTTTCCGATCTTTCACATGATCGATGGCATGCAATAATCTCTGAAGGGTGGTTAAACTCTCCTTCGTGGTGCCAGAGCTTCTCTAGAGAGTGTCCATCTTGGGTGCTGCCAAAACCACGTCCCCACTTAAAGTTTTTTATTGGAGCTAGCATATTGCAGCATTGCTGACTCACATATGCACAGAATAGACTGCTCCGGGAGTACTTAACCAATTCAATATCGGGCAATTTTACACCTTCCTGCCCAGGCCAGTTTTCAGGTTTCAGCGCTCTCACACTTTGAATGACAATTGCGCGGTCATACAACATTGTACCCAAACTAAACTTTTATCATTTTCTTCACACAACTAGAGCTTTCTTTTGGTGGTATTTAATCACTGCTGGGGTTTTTATTTTTTGCTAAATTAACAAAAAAAGACCAAACATTTTGAAAAAAAACACGTTTTTCTTTGTTTCTGTTATAAAAGTTTGCAAATAAATAATTGTTCTTCATAAATTTAGGCCAAGATGTATTCGGCTACATGTCTTTGGTGAAAATAACCCATATTAGGATGTATTTTTTAGTTTGTAGGAAAGTTATAGAGTTTACAAACTATGGTATAGATCTGAATATTGATCAATCCTGAAGTACTGACAGCCAATCTAATTTCTTGAGGTCCAAGAATGTCAGAACAGTACAGATATCCCCCAAATGACCCCTTTTTGCAAAATAGACAGTCCGACGTACTTCATAAGAGGCATTACGAGTTTTTTGAAGTTGTATTTTTTTTGTCATAATTTTTCGGAAAATGAAAAAATAAAAAAAATTAGTTTCACTATTTTTTTTTTTACATATTGTCACCAGTGCAGTACAGCGTCATCATATAACTGGCATGGCGGTGATCAGGGACACTGAATGGTGACAGTATGAAAAAAAAAAATATATATTTTTTTTAATTATTTTTAATACATTTTTTTTCTTTTTTTAAGATTTTTTTTTATATTTCACTATGACCAAAGTAGTAGAATGTTACCATAGTAACATTCTACTACTTTGGGGAAGTGATCAGTAATTTTATTTATTTTTTTTTTTTTACACAACTTGCTTATAGCAAAGAATTACTTACTCCATGGATATGCCTACACAGACCCTCACTGACCCACCACCAAAACAGTCATGCTGAACGATGTTACAGGCAGCATAATGTTCTCCATGGCTTCTCTGGACTCTTTCACATTTGTCACATGTGCTCAGGGTGAATCTACTCTCATCTGTGAAAAGCACAGGGTGCCAGTGGCGGACCTGAAAATTCTGGTGTTCAATAGCAAATGCCAATTGAGCTGTGTGGTGCTGGACAGTGAGCACAGGGCTCATGAGAGGACGTCGGGCCCTCAGGCCACCCTCGAGAAGTCTGTTTCTGATTGTTCGGTTAGAGACATTCACACCAGTGGCCTACTAGAGGAAATTTTGTAGGGCTCTGGCTGTGCTCATCCTGTTCCTCCTTGCACAAAGGAACAGATACCAGTCCTGCTGATGGGTTAAGGCAGGCCTTGAAATTTCCACTAGTCTGCTCGCTTGGGGAGTGGAAAGTATGGTGCGGGCGAGTGTGTCCCCAGGGCTCTTGCTGAGCAGGCTTGGAACTCAGAGCTGAATCTGTCACTCGCACTGGGAGCAGTCAGCCTGCTCAATAGTTGAGCAAAGTGAAAGCAAAGGAAGGAGTGTGTGCTGTGCTCTCTGCCTCCCCCTAGAGTGCAATACCCGGCTCTGTGAGTGAAGGTAATGCAGTACTGCATCTTTTTATAAGGGTGTGTGTGTGTGTGTATGTGTGTGTATTTGTGTGTGCATTTGTATATGTGTGTGTGTGTTTGTGTGTGTGTCTGTGTATGCATGTACATGTACATGTGTGTATCTGTACATGTGTCTGCGGGTATGTACATGTATGTGTGTGTGTACATGTGTCTGTGTGTGTACATGTGTGTGCACGTACATGTGTGTGTTTGTGTGTATGTACGTACATGTGGCTGTGTATGTATGTACATGTGTCTGTGTATGCATGTACATGTGTCTGTGTATGCATGTACATGTGTCTGTGCGTGTGTATTTCTGTGTATGTACAGTGAGGAACAGAAGTATTTGAACACCCTGCGATTTTCATGGAGGGGTCTGAAATTCACATTGTAGGTGCATTCCCACTCTGAGAGACAGAATTAAAAAAAAATTCAGGAAATCACATTGTATGATTTTTAACAAATTTATTTGCCGTGCACTGCTGAACATAAGTATTTGAACACCTAAGAAACAGCAAGAATTCTGGCTCTCAAAGACCTGTTACTGTGCCTTTAAAAAGTCCACCTCTACTCCACTCATTAATCTAACTTAGTAGCACCTGTCTGAGCTCTTTAAAGACACCTGTCCACCCCACAGTCATTCAGACGCCAACTACTACCATGGGCAAGACCACAGAGCTGTCAAAAGACACCAGAGACAAAATTTTGGACCTCCACAAGGCTGGAAAGGGCTACGGGGCAATTGCCAAGCAGCTTGGTGAAAATAGATCAACTGTTGGAGCAATTGTTGGAAAATGGAAGAGGCTAAAGACGACTGTCAGTCTCCCTCGGACTGGGTCTCCATGCAAGATCTCACCTCGTGGGGTATCACTGATGATAAGAATGGTGAGGAATCAGCCCAGAACTACAAGGGAGGAGCTGGTCAATGACATGAAGAGAGCTGGGACCACAGTTTCAAAGGTCACTGTCGGTAGAACACTACAGCGTCATGGTTTCAAATCATGCATTGCACGGAAGGTTCCCCTGCTCAAGTTATCACATGTCCAGGCCCGTCTGACGTTTGCCAATGACCATCTGGATGATCCAGAGGAGGCATGGGAGAAAGTCATGTGGTCAGATGAGACCAAAGTAGAACTTTTTGGTCTAAACTTCACTTGTCGTGTTTGGAGGAAAAAGGAAGGATGAGTTGCATCCCAAGAACACCATCCCTACTGTGAAGCATGGGGGTGGTAACATCATGCTTTGGGGGTGCTTTTCTGCGAAGGGGACAGGACGACTGCACTGTATTAAGGAGAGGATGAATGGGGCCATTTATTGTGAGATTTTGAGCAACAACCTCCTTCCCTCAGTCAGAGCATTGAAGATGGGTCGTGGCTGGGTCTTCCAACATGACAACGACCCGAAGCACACAGCCAGGATAACCAAGGAGTGGCTCCGTAAGAATCATATCAAGGTTCTGGAGTGGCCTAGCCAGTCTCCAGACCTAAATCCAATAGAACATCTTTGGAGGGAGCTGAAACTCCGTGTTGCTCAGTGACAGCCCCAAAACCTGACAGATCTAGAGGAGATCTGTGTGGAGGAGTGGGCCAAAATCCCTGTTGCAGTGTGTGCAAACCTAGTCAAGAACTACAGGAAACGTTTGACCTCTGTAATTGCAAACAAAGGCTTCTGTACCAAATATTAACACTTATTTTCTCATGTGTTCAAATACTTATGTTCAGCAGTGCGAGACAAATAAATTCTTTAAAAATCATACAATGTGATTTCCTGAATTTTTTTTTAAATTCTGTCTCTCAGAGTGGGAATGCACCTACAATGTGAATTTCAGACCCCTCCATGATTTCTAAGTGGGAGAACTTGCAAAATCGCAGGGTGTTTCAAATACTTCTGTTCCTCACTGTATATGTGTCTGTGTGTATGTACATGTATGTGTGTCTGTACATGTCTCTGTGTGTGTGTGTACATGTGTGTGCACGTAAATGTGTGTGTATGTACATACATGTGTCTGTGTGTACATATGTCTCTGTGTATGTACCTGAGTCTGTGTATGCATGTACATGAGTCTGTGTGTATGTACATGTGTCTGTGCGTGTATATTTCTGTGAATGTAAATGTGTCTGTGTGTATGTAGATGTACAGTGGAGATCGAAAGTTTGGGCACCCCAGCTAAAAATTTGTATTAACAGAAAACAAAAAAATGGCGTCTGCAAATGTTTGGGCACCCTGCAGAATTTATAGCATGCACTGCCCCCTTTGCAAAGCTGAGACATGCCAGTGTCATGGATTGTTCTCAATCATCGTCTGGGAAGACCAGGTGATGTCAATCTCAAAGGTTTTAAATGCCCAGACTCATCTGACCTTGCCCCAACAATCAGCACCATGGGTTCTTCTAAGCAGTTGTCAAGAAAACTGAAACTGAAAATAGTTGACGCTCACAAAGCTGGAGAAGGCTATAAGAAGATAGCAAAGCGTTTTCAGATGTCAATATCCTCTGTTCGGAATGTAATTAAGAAATGGCAGTCATCAGGAACAGTGGAAGTTAAAGCAAGATCTGGAAGACCAAGAAAAAAATATCAAACAGAACAGCTCGCAGGATTGTGATAAAAACAATTCAAAACCCACGTTTGACTGCACGATCCCTCCAGAAAGATCTGGCAGACACTGGAGTTGTGGTACACTATTCCTCTATAAAGAGATACTTGTACAAATATGGTCTTCATGGAAGAGTCATCAGAAGAAAACCTCTTCTACGTCCTCACCACAAAAATCATCGTTTGAACTTTGCAAATGAACATATAGACAAGCCTGATGCATTTTGTAAACAAGTTCTGTGGACCGATGAGGTTAAAATTGAACTTTTTGGCCGGAATGAGCAAAGGTACGTTTGGAGAAGAAGGGGCACAGAATTTAATGAAAGGGAACCTCTGTCCAACTGTTAAGCATGGGGTTGGATCAATCATGCTTTGGGGTTGTGTTGCAGCCAGTGGCACAGGGAACATCTCACGAGTAGAAGGAAAAATGGATTCAATAAAATTTCAGCAAATTTTGGATGGTAACTTGATGCCATCTTTGAAAAAGCTGAAATTAAAGAGAGAATGGCTTCTACAAATGGATAATGATCCTAAACACACCTCAAATTCCACGGGGGATTACATCAAGAGGCGTAAACTGAAGGTTTTGCCATGGTCTTCACAATCTGCCGACTTCAACATAATTGAAAATCTATGGATAGACCTTAAAAGAGCAGTGCGTGACAGACAGCCCAGAAATCTCAAAGAACTGGAAGACTTTTGTAAGGAAGAATGGGCAAAGATACCTCAAACAAGAATTGAAAGACTCGGCTGGCTACAAAAAGTGTTTACAAGCTGTGACACTTGCCAAAGGGGGCAGTACAAGATATTAACTCTGCAGGGTGCCCAAACTTTTGCAGACGCCATTTTTTTGTTTTCTGTTATTTTGAAAGTGTAAATGATGGAAATAAAATCTAACTTTTGTTGACATATTATAAGAATGTCTAATCTGTAATTTGATGCCTTTTGGAGATTTTTCCATCTTTCCTTGGCTTCTTTATGCACATTAATACAAATTTTCAGCAGGGGTGCCCAAACTTTCGATCCCCACTGTATATGTGTCTGTGTGTGTATACGTGTGTGTGTGTGTAAATGTGTCGCTGTGTGTGAATGTACATGTCTGTGTGTGTGTACAGGTGTCTCTTTTTTGTGTGTGTAAACCTACATATATGGGTGATTTGGTCAGGTTCAGGATTATGTGGTTATTATGGGTGGTGTATGGGGCATTTGAGGTACTGCTGGGTTGGATAGTAGGTAGGATATGCTTGGTAGAGTTATGGTTTTGTGAGTGAGATTATGGGAAGTTATGGTTGTATGCGGTTCATGGTCTAAGTATGATGGAGTGTTTAGGGCGACATTGGAGGCCCTGATGTAATGTGGGGGGACTCTGGGGACCCTGATGTAATGTGGGTAACATTTAACAGTGTCATTTCATGAAATAATTTACGAGGGCGTGTTTAGGGGCAGAGTTAGTGGTGTAGCAGGGTAGGGGTTGGGTGGGGCAAT